GCATTGCCTACAGAACGACCCCACCTGACAACGACAAGTGTAAAAGCAACTATAAGCACACAAAAAACATCAGCTTCTAAACCACTCCTCAAACCGACAACAAAAGCAAATGTAACGAGAAACCATTCCGAAAAAGATTTGCAAATAACGACGCCAAAAATTAGGAAAACAACAAAATATTCAGCAACTCTAACAACTCCAACATTTTCTATTGATGTCCCAAGTGAAACACCTTCAACGCAACCTAAGAGTAATGGAAATAAGGGTCAAGAAGTGAGGAAGATCCATAATAAACTGGCCGTGTCGCAAACTACCTTATCTACTCCAAATGTGGCATCACAAACTACTATTTTCAAAACAAATTTAAGTTCGACTCCTAACTATGCTAGTGTGTCTAATGTTAGTGTGCAGATCTCTATAAATTCACAGCCACAGACTGACGTACTGCCTCAAAGTCCACTTTATTATGTTAATAAAACATTAAATACCACCGAAACACTTCGTAATCTAAACTATCCTGGAAGTATAACCACAACACTCTCAAATCGGTACAACATCAAAAAAACAACACCGCCGTCTACGACCACTAAAGGAACCCCCAAAGCCATTAAGCTATGTATTTTACGCAATTGTGGTCATCCACTCTTTTGCAGCGTTTCATTACCAGGCTCTCTCGATTTTAAAAGTTCACATGATAATCAAGGACGATTATATCTTATGGAGGGCTCACAAGTAATTTTCAACTGTGCCGACGGTTATGTTTTAGAAGGTGTAAACCGTACAACATGCACAGCCAAAGGCTGGAGCAATAAAAACCCAAGTTGCAGTAAGTTTACACGTTTACTTCTGTAATGTAAGTGTAACATTAATATTGATTTGTTTTCCTACAGATCCACACTGTGACGTAGACTTTAAATCTAACTGTGCATCTCCACTCAAATGTTCACTTGAAGAACCCAACATTAGATCAAAAACCGTCATAAGGAATAATTTTGCAGAAACTAAAGTTAAGGAACATTCTCAACTTAGTTTTGTCTGCGATGATGGTTATCTGCTAGAAGGTCCGAAACTAAGGAAATGCACAACGAAAGGATGGTCAAATGTGATGCCTAGATGTGGTAAGATTTCACAAATAGTGGTCTAAATTAATTCATTCTGAGATGGACCCCATTCATTTCGCTGTTTTTTACAGTTAATCGTTGCGATGTATTGGACTTGGGAATTCCCAAGTCTCCGCTTATGTGCCAACTATTTGACTCAAATACAGGACTTTCACATTACTATCAATATTCGCAGCGGAATAGGATGATCAAAGAAGGCTCTTATTTAGAATATAGCTGCGAATATGGATATAAACTGAATGGAGCGAATCGTTCAACCTGCACGAATAATGGCTGGAATAGTGACGCACCTACTTGCAGTAAGATGTGAAATTTTTGCCTACACATATGAGTGTTTTGAAATCAATTAAATAATACATATATTAACTGTCACCTGGCGTGATCTAAAACTTATCAGTCCGTGTAAACCTCCTTATTTCCTTATTTCCTATATTTTAAGAGCAAACTTGTGATGCTGGTATATTGAACGACTGCACTTCTCCGTTAAACTGTGAGAGATTTGATTTTGCGATCAACAACTATAGGAGAATCTACAAAGGAAACGTGCAGCAATTATCCCAATTGGAATATTTACATCTTAGTTGTGATGATGGCTATGACTTACAAGGCACACAATTTTTAACTTGTAAGGGAGGCAAATGGCAAGGCACTATGCCTAAATGCAACGGTAGGTACTTCGTAGTATTGCTATTTTTCAAGCACTTCTAAGAAATCTCATCTCCCTCGATATAAACCAATAGCACCGCTATTGCGAGCCGATTTGTTAGCTAATTGTGAAAATCCATTGATTTGCACTGCTTTCGATCATAATTCGAGATCTGGGCAAAGCATAATTAATAACTATAGGGACAGTTTTAAAACGTATCCCCAAAGCACTATGGTGGTTTTCAATTGCGCTGACGGCCACGTGCTAAATGGGGCCAAACAGCAACCTGTGACTTCCAGGGTTCGAAATACGAAAACGGAATATTTAACTCTGAATGTCGTAAGTTCTCTTACAGTTTTAATTGTTAACGCCTTCACAAAGGCAATAGCAGTAACAGAGTTATGTGAAACAGTTTCGTTTAAAGCTTTATGCCAATTACTTATATATTAAAGTAGATGAAGAAAGTGGGGAACCGTTACCAACTGTTTAATACATTCAGACTTACATTTGAGCAAATATTTAAGACGATTCACCTTCAACTCAAACTTTTCGTATTTGATTTTTTTAAGAGCGAATCTCTAACACTTGTGACAAAAGAATATTGGATAACTGTACTTATCCACTAATTTGTAAGAGATTTGATCGCGAGTTCAACGATTTTAGAAAAATCAACAGTGCCACCCGCCAGAAATCAGTCATTCATATGGAACGTATAAAAGTCAGTTGTGAAAATGGTTATGTGCTGGATGGCAGAAATGTTTTAAGTTGCGCGGCAGGAAAGTGGGATCACCATATGCCCAAATGTATTGGTACGTATTTGATTTATTTTATTAAATTATCAGATTTCAAATATTTCTCATAATATTTTGCTAACAGCATCTTCCTGTAGAGGTGATCTCATACCCAGGTGCAAGCATCCACTAACTTGCTCGTGGTACGACTCCAAGTCCCAATCCGAACAGATTATAACTGATAACAATATTACAGAGTCNTTGTGATGATGGCTATGACTTACAAGGCACACAATTTTTAACTTGTATGGGAGGCAAATGGGAAGGCAGTATGCCTAAATGTGCTGGTAGGTATTGAAATACACTTAATAATTACATACTTTTTAATAATGTTATTCCAACAATGCAACAATATTTTCAATTAAACTAACGGCTTCAACTTCAGAAGCAAAAAGTAAATAATTTCTAGGAATACTGAGGCTAGTCTGAAACTATGACAATGAATCGGACTGCAATCACGTCTACTTCCCATATATTACAACTTTAAATACCTTATTATTATCAAGCCCTCAGAACCAAAGATCGATTGAAATTCAGAAAGAATTGTTTCCTGATAATATGTGCCTTGTGTCAAAAATGAGTAAAATGTAGACAATACTTTTCCTAACCAACATATGTATACATACATTGCGTTCAAAAAATAACACTTTTCCTTTCGTGGCAATAGTTGTTATTTTTATACTCTTGCAACATGTTGCTACAGAGTATAATAGTTTTGTTCACATAACGGTTGTTTGTATCAACTAAAACTAATCGAGATAAATAACATATAGAGTTATTTATATATAAATGTTGAGGATGAAGAGAATAGTTGAAATCCGAGTGATATTTTGTCTGTCCGTCCGTCCGTCCGTCCGTCCGTCTGTGCAAATGATATTTTGAGTAATAATTAAGATATCTTAATGACACTTAGTGCACGTATTCCTTGAAAAAAAGATAAGACCGAGTTCGTAGATGGGCGTAATCAGAACACTGAACTAAATGTGACGGAGACATTTAATTTTACACCCAGGATGATACAAGAGGGCTTTATAGGAAAAGTGGTCAAAATTGGACGATGGGCATGGCACCGCCCAAATTTATGAGAAATCACATATCTAGGGACCTACTTATGTTACATTGTGAGAATGGGCGCTATCGAACTACAACTACGCCTACTATCGATATAGCACAATTATAAATTCCATCTGATTCTTTAACTTTCCAGTATACAAACTAAGAACCAATGATTGTATCCGTATAAAAATTTGCACAAACTTAAAGTATTTCATCTCACGCTAAAATTGCGACTATAACATTTTAAAAACCCAGACGCTAAATATGTGTACCCCAGTGCGTATGGTTGACTTTTTGCCGAGAATATCCGTCAATCTGTGAGATATTTTATTGAATTTCGGGAAAAAATTGTCTTTAATAATAATGTAACCTTGTGTCAAAAATGGGTTGAATCGGTTTAAAACCTCCCTTAGCCTCTATATCTAAAATATACATAGATTTTTGAACTTCCAGTTGACTTTAAAACACAGATATTGGCCAATGAGGAAATTATTTTAATGAAATTGAGAGAGCATGTTTTTCTAATAACATCTTTGTGCTTAAAATGGATAAAATCGATCGAAAACCTGCCTTAGCCCTTATACAACTGATATTCAGGATTTTGAAACATTCTGCTGACCTTACTCCATATACTTGTACATGTTTATAAAATTTCTTGAAAATAAGTTCTCAAGCACAACTGAACAATGTCAGAAATTAATGCATCAGCGATTCCATTTCTCTGCCCTTAATATTGTATATCCTATATAATGATTTCCGATGAAGTTATAAAATTATATTAATGGTTTGGCACTCAATATAAATTAATTGGTCTTGGTCTTAACCTCATATCCCTAATATAATGAATTCCGATCCTCTGGTTGACGTTTTTCGCATCAAGTCAATATATTAAATTTAGCCTTTTCAGATGAGTTTATGTCAGATATATCTTATTTGCACATAATTTTAGTATAATTTTCGCTGGTGGGAAGTAAAAAATAGTAATAAAACTAAGGGAGTCTATGACCTTCAAAAGTTAATATAATATCATACCAAATTTGATTGTATTCCATTCAATATTTCGCTAAACAATGAACAATGAATAATATTACCAACACCTAAAGGTATGTAGCCAGCTTTGATCCTTGCAAGTTGCAAGAGTATAAAACGTTCGGTTAAACCCGAACTTAGCGCTTCCTTACTTGTTTTTATTTTCTAAATGTGTCACGTCGTGTCGTGAAATAAGAAAATTTAGTGCTCAGTATAAAAAACGTTTTGAAGCAGCCTTTCTAGTGAAGCACCCTAAAAGTCCCAAATGGACTGTGTAATAACTCCAAAGTATTTACATTGTACATTTGTGAAGAGTTGGCTCAGCCCACACCTCAGTCTAAGGGAAGCTAATAAAATTGGTTTAAAAATGGATTAGATATATCTCTAAATACAATACGATACAGATTTCAGAGATCTGGCATCTAACGCAGCAGAACTATAATCAAACTCCTACCCTTAAAAACACACAAGGTGAAAGGGTTGCAATAGGCGCAGGAAAACATCAACATCAAACGTGATTAGAGCAATGTAATATTAAAAAATGAGTCAACTTTTGTTTTGTTCAACCTCTTGAGACGTGTTTGACTAAAAAGAGAAAAATCGTTTATTCAAAGGAGTGCTACAAAAGATGCATGTTTATGGGTGCTACTCTGCTGATGGATTTGAAGTGCAAACGAGCAGATTCTGTACTCGATGGAAACAAGAAATTAATTTTGTTACTTTAGCTTTCCAGTCCAATGGAGAATGTTAAGGTGCAAACATTCCAAAAACTAAAAGCCAAAATATCAAGTAAACATTATACGTCTAGAAAACATTTCATTCGGCTACTCCGACATACCGTGAGATCACTTCCTGTGGAAAATGGGAAAATCTTAAACCTTAATAACCACATTTAATATAATCTAATAAACTCAACCTACACTTCGGAAAATGAGAACGTTTTTATTTGAATATATACCAAAAAGAATGTTTTCGTTATTTTAGCAAACATAATGACAAATTTGTGGTTAGTGTATAAGTTATTTATATTTTACAATTGGCTAAATTGCATTGATGGGGTATATGAAGAAAGCATCAATCTAAGAATGGGAAATCTGTGAGAAAATCAGATGGAACCTTAAAGATTGTTTAAGTAAAAAAAACGTGGTTGTCATTCAATTTTCCCAATGTGTAATATGAATATATGGCTAACTTTACATACCAAATTTGGTTGAAATTTAATCAAATTTCTTTTTTTTGTTTTTCTAGATTTGTTTTTCACAATCAGCTAAAAATATAAATATTTTTTAATATTAAATTTCCTTTGCCGTTTCTTATGCCATTAGGAAAATATGTACAAAGTTATAGTCTTCAAAACTTCCAGCATGTGTCAAGATTAACCTATACATGCATTTAGTGGGCATATTTATCATTCATTTGCTGTTTGTAGAAAGATATGTGTTATGTAAATTCGCCCGAATTAGGTTATAATTTTGAAGTGACAGCCGTTCTCGTTTTGAACAAAAGTCAATTAAAGAATTTAATTATTGCTAATTATTTAAAATACACTTTAATGAAAGTTTTGTGACAACGGGAAATTCCTAATTTTTCTCTTCTTTTATTTTAAGAGCAAACTACTTGTGATGCTGGTGTATTGAACGCCTGCACTTCTCCGCTAAACTGTGAGAGATTTGATTTTGCGATCAACAACTATAAGAGAATCTACAAAGGAAACGTGCAGCAATTGTCCCAATTGGAATATTTACATCTTAGTTGTGATGATGGCTTGACTTACCAAGGCACACAATTATTTAACTTTAAGGGTGGCAAATGGCAAGCACTTATGCCTTAAATGTAACGTAGATATACTATATCTATGGTATTACACGACTTCTCAGAAAATCTCATCTCTCTGATAATAATCCAATAGCCACCGCTTTGCGGAAGCCGAGTTGTTACTAATTGTTGTAAATCCATTGTTAATTGCATGTTCATCATAATTCTAGATTGGGCAAAGCATAATTATACACTTTCAGGACATGTTTTAAACGATCCGCAAGCATTGGTGTTTTCATGCGTGACGCCACTGCTAAATGGGCCAAACAGCAACCTGTGACTTCCAGGGTTCGAAATCGAAAACGCGATATTTAACTCTGAATGTTCGTAGTCCTCCTTCAGTTATTTGTTAATTCCTTCACAAAGCATATCGAGCTAACAGAGTGTGAAACAGTTTTCGTTTAACTTTTGCCTTACTTAATATAAAGTAGATGAAGAAGTGGAACCGTCCAATGTTTATAATTCGGACTACATGAGCAATATATTAAGGACATGACTCACTTCACTCAAACTTTTCTATTTGATTTTTTAAGAGGATCTCTAACCTTGTGACAAAAGATATTGGATACACTTACTATCCCTAAGTTTGTAAGAGATTTGATCGTCGGTTTCAACGATTTAAAAAATAACAGTGCCACCGCGCAGAATCAGTCATTTCATATGGAACGTATAAAAGTCAGTTGTTGAAAATGTTATGTGCTGGATGGCAAAATGTTTTACAGTTGCCGGCCAGGAAAGTGATCACCAATGCCAATGTATTGTGTAGTATTTATTATTTTATAAAAATCAGATTTCAAATTATTTCTCTATATATTTGCTAACGATCTTCCGTAGAGGTGATCTCATACCAGGTGCAAGCATCCACTAACTTGCTCGTTGGTACGACTCGCAAGTCCCAATCCGGAAAGATTATAATATACAATATTACAGAGTCACAATATGCACTAACCCAGATTGTTTCGGTTGTGCTAACGGTATATAGGATGGCGAGAACAAACCATTTGTATTCGAACGGCTGACTGCTAACAAAGTCATAAAACTACCGAGAATGCAGTGAGTTTGATATTTCATATTTTGAATCTTTCCATGTTTTATTCTTCTAACTCTATTACCCTCAGCTTTTGGAATGTAGATCCGATACTTCTTAAAAGCTGGTAACAAACCACTTATTTTTTTATTTGAACCTAATGAATTGGTTAATTACGAACATTTCTGAATAAATAAAATTGTGAAAAACTCCCTTTATACACTTTTCGCCTGTGGTTAACCGATTATATGCTGCAAGGGGTGATTATATAAATTGTTAA